TGGGTCACCTGATCATAAAAGGAAATCAGGTTGGTCAAACAGGATCTGCCCTTCCTAAACCCATGTTGGCTGGGTCTGATCCCTTGTCCATCCTGTAGCTGCTGTGTGATTGCACACAATAGTGGTGCTTTAAGTGCTAGAAGTCAGAAATTGCTGTGCAGCATGCACATCAGCAGTTGCTTATTGATGATCTATCAGGACTGTCTGATTAGCTGTGAATAAATGTTCCTGCACTTACAGGGCTGTAAATATCACAGTGTGTAGGCTCTGACTGATCTGTGCTTTATTTACCGATGTCTGCTCTTGGTTGCAGGTCACTGGATTTCTTGCATTATGCTTTTGAGGTTTTCCCAGTGAGTATATTGAAAGTTCTAAGGCTTGTGTGTGTGGGTGGTGGGACACTGCAGTTGGGTTTGGGTCTGCTGCTCAAGGGAGTCAGTGCCCACAGGAGTGTGCTGTGCCTGCTTACCCTGGGCTGAGTTACTCTTCTCCTTGGGTACTTCTGGACTTCATGGATTGCATACCAAAATCCTTTGTCTATCATAGAATCCCAAAACGGTTTGGTTTGCAAAGGACCTTAAAGAGCATCTCTTTCCACATCCCTGCCATGGGCAGGGACACTTTCCACTAGGCCAGGTTGCTCCAAGCCCTGTCCAGTGTGGCCTTAGACACTTCCAGAGATGGGGCAGCCACAGCTTCTCTGGGCAACCTGTGCCAGGACCTCCCCCCCCTCACAGCTGAGAATTTTTTCTTAGTATCTGATTTAAGCCTACTCTGTCAGTTTGAAGCCATTCATCCTTGTCCTGTCTCTCCATGTCCTTATAAACAGTTTTCCTAGTCTGTTCTGTAGGGACCTCTCATAGATGCCAATTAAGAAAGGAGATGCTTCAAACTCCTTTAAAAACACATGTAGATCCAGACTGTACCTAAATTAAAAGTAAAATCAGGGAAAATATATTAGGTGGAGTTAAAGCCTATAAAAGTGGTATTAGGGAGCTCCATAGTATTCGCCTATGGACTGAACAATGGTACTGTGAATTCAGACACTGGTGGAAGGGAGCACTTGAACAGTAATGGAGAGTTATTTATGGCAGGCAGATTTATCTCCTGAGGATACTCTTCTTCCTCAGAGAGCATTTGATGGAGACTCCTGTACTGCTTTGCGCCTCTGCGACCTTTACAGCACAGGTCTCTGGACAACTGTGTGGACTGTCAATACAGTGTCTGTGTGTGCCCATGGACACCAGCAGTGCCGGCTCTGGGACAGGCTGGGTGTGGCTGTGCTCATACACACTTGTGTTCATAGCCTGCTGTGCCTGCACAGTGGCCATGCAGGACTGTAGGATGTGCTGCACTTGTCCATGGTCTCACCTGGCTGTAAGGGATCCCAGACAGACACACATCGTCCTGAGGTTGTGCTGCAGAAGGAAAGTAAGGTAGAAAAAAGGACCTTTTAAGGGAGAAGATAAGCCCTTCAAGGTGTGGTCAGGGAGACAGTGTTCCTGCTAGGCAGCTGGACTAGAGGGTCACTGTAAGTCCCTTCCAGCTGAAATATTCTACTGAGGAAGAAAAGAGGGGGGGAGGAAGGGGGAATGGAAAAAGGGGGCTGCTAGGGAATATCAGGATATCAGCTAATGAATCTTTACTCTAGGGGCTGAACCCATCAGTTCCTTTGTGGTGTCCAGGCAGAGCAGTGCCTGGGGTGCAGTGCAGTGTAAGCCCCACAGTCAGCGTTGTCTGTCTGCTCCAGTCAGGGGGGTTTGTGTGAAGCTTATGCAGATCACCAAGACCCTCTCTTTATTGCCTGCAAATCTTTTTCAGGACAGAGACTTCTGTGTCATCCTGGTGCCCCATCATGTACCGGAGTTCCCCCTGCTGCGGAGTTTTGCTCGAGCTGTCCCTTTCTGTACCTGCAGGCTGGGTCGTGAGCTGTACGTGCTGCACCGTGCGGGATTGCTCACGTGAGTGTGCCTCGGGACAGCACTGCTGTGCTCTGAATGCTGGGGGACAGGCTGGCACCAGCCAGCCTGGCACCACACGGGTGTTCCTTTGCTGGCCCAGGCCACCCTGGTGCTTCTGCAAGGTATGACAGAACATCTTGTAAAAATGGAAGCTTGTTACACAGCACAGAACTGTGCCTGGAGCAATGGGGAGCAGAGCTAAATACCTCAGTCTGGAGTAGCAGTACTGCAGCTGTCTGTGCTCCCTGTCCTGGGGTGCATGCCAGGCCCAATCAGCTGCATCTCCACAGCACTATATGAGATAGTACAGTAACAGAATTGTATTTGTTTTTAGTGAAATGAAGTAGTAACTGACATGACTCCTTAATGAAACATCAATGAGGTAATTACAAGTGTGAAAGCAACCAGTCTTCTGATGCCAGCACTGTATATAGTTTCCTTTAACTAAAACCAAAGTTCAGCAAGAGGATTCCTTTAAAATTTGTGTATACAGTGCTCAGGTAAGATGAACACTGTTGCAGACCAGCAGCTCCTTGTTGCTGTGCTGTGGCCAAGGCCAGCAGAGGAACAGTGTTGTTTGGCCCCTGGGGTGTGGGTCAGGCTGGGTGCCATTGATACCACATAGCCTGGTGTAGATTTAATTCTTCAAAACATGCTATGGCTCTTAAGGGAACTGCAGTCCATGGTTCTGGAACATGCACAACACAGCAGTAACCTCACTGAGTACCTGTTTTATAGCACTTCTCTTATTTTTGGTTTTGAATCACTAGTTTCATGCCTTCAGTTTCAGTGACTCTCTGAATGCTCCTGTAGGCTGAGATACTGGGGAACCAAACCCTTCTTGCTTGTGACTTCTGTTATGTGGAGTGAGTTTTCCAAAGCTTCGTATGTGTATCACACGCATCCTGGCCCAAACACCAAGCTGAAATTGTGACACAGTTGGAGACTTTCTCTTTCTTTGTGTCTTTATGTAGCTAAATAATGTGTAGTTTCAGAGAAATACTCCTGGTTGAATTGCATATTTGATCATCTTTGGTGGTACACAAATAGCTCATGCAGGACCTGGCCAGCTACTCTTGGACCTATGCAGAAGCTTTTTACTCTGGGATGAAATTGGGCTTCTGGGTCCTGTGTAAGAATCCAGCTGGCTGGAGAGAAAGCTCCTGGAGTAATTCCTGGTAGTCTCAGGCACAGCTGCTCAGTAATACACCAGTAGGGTTGGGAGTCATATGTTCTCCTGTGATTTTGATCAAAATTAAAGTGGTTATCAAGGTTTTTCAAAAAGCCCTCACAATTCTGATTAAACTGTGCATATTTCAAATGAACCAACCCTTCCATGAAAACAAAATAGGGTCATTAGTAACGTTTTCCAAATCCCCTGCAGCTGTGCAGGATAGTAAGGAAAAATAGCTGTTCACTGAGGTTCAGCATCAGAAAAGCTTTGGAAGAGGCCAGATGATGCCTTTGGAAAGCTTCTGGAGAACCAAGTCCACAGGGTTCATCAGCAGGTACTCTCTTGGAAATAAGTGAAATCTGAGAAAGTAAAAGATGAATATGTTGTACTTGCACCAATGGCTTTCAAAAGCATGTGAGTGAAAAGAAAGTCACAGAAAATGGATTCAAAGAAAAACAGGGGTAAGAAGATGGGAACATGAAGATGTGAAAGGGCAAAGTCAGAAGAGGCACAGACACAAAATGGGCTCCTGATTAGTACAGGTTGTAAAAGGAATAAAAAAAAAGTGTTAAGTACACAAAAAGCAAGAGTGCAGCAAATGGAAGTAAGAGTCTGCTACTTAACAGTGAAGGAGAAAAAAATAACAGATGACAAGGCATAGGCTGCGATGCTTAATGGATACTTTCCCTCAATTTTCACTAAAAAGCATAATAGTGCTCTGGTCTCTGAGCAGTTAAAGGACTTGGGCATCTAGAATGAGTTAATTCATTGCTGTGAGAGAAATGAGTGCAGACCTTGGATAGTCCTTCCTCCTGTTTCATACTCACAGTAGAGCAGTGTTTATTAAAAAAAAAAAAAAAAAACAACCAAAAAAGCCTAAAACAAAACCCCACAAAAGAGTTTCACCTTTTTATTTTTGTCACATTAAAGGTGTAGTTCCTTAGTGGCACAACTGTCTTCCCCGGGCACGGGTGGGGAGCAAAGCTTGCTGGGGGATGGCCTGCTCAGGGGCTGCAGTGTGAACCATGGTGCTGCTCCTGCTGGCCATCATCCTCATCACTTGTTTGGTCTTGCAATTAATGGTGGAAACTGGGGAACCTAAGCTGATGCTTGCTTAATTCAGGATTAGTTTGAAATTTAGTAATCAAATGTATGTCTTTGAGTACTTGGAAATGGTCAATGGATTGAGCTGTGAAACTTCCCATGGCATACCAGATACAGTGTCACTGCTGTGAGATTACTAATTGGCACTCTGTGCTTCTCAGAGGCGTTGCAGTGATGTAAATTTATCCTTGTGCTACTGTTTGAAAAACCAGGGCCTAACACAAACATTAGTAACTTGTTCTTGGGGAAATTCGTGATCCTGTCTCGGAACATGAATTTCCTTTTCCAAGGATGAGAGCTGGCTGTTTTATCTTTCTCTTCCCTTTTTTCTTTTACTTGTCTTTCTCTGTTCTCCTTTGCCCATGTGCAGCAGTGTGTAGTTACAGATTCCACATTCGTTTAAGGTTCTTTGCCTCCCTTTTCTGATGACTCTTAGTCATATGAAGGCAGGTGATACCTTATAGGTCATCATTTGCCATGTGAGATAGGGCTGTAGGTGCACAAAAACTGAGTGTATAATAGCAGGTAAAGCAGGGTTCTGGACCTGTCTCAAGTAGATGCTCTGTGGTATCTTCTATTACTGTGCAATAAGTTATGTCTGCATTGGGAACAACAGTCATTTAGCAAAGAGTTTCAAGTTCTGCAAGATGTGGTAGGTTCTTGTGGAGGGCATGTTGTCTTAAGCCTGGCAATTGTCTTTATTTTGTCACAGTGAACCTTAATTCTCTTTTTTAGGTCATTTAATGTACGAAAGGCAACAACCAATGACCTACCTGGTGTCAAAACACTTGTTGAAACGCTTAGTTTGAGTGACAGGATATGGAACGACTCCAGGATATTCACTGAGGCTCGCCGGGACCCCGTGAGTATTTGTTGTGAACACGGGTACGGTTCTTTCCTAGGATCAGGGCTGAACTCAGGCCTGTAGCAGCTGGGTTTGTAGCACTCCTGTGGCAGGGAGATCCAAACTGAAACTTCAGTGTGGGAAAGGTCTGTGTGTCCAGAGCCCAGCCATACACATTGCTCAAACAGTGCTCCTCGTGGGCAGCACGCTGCTTAAACTGGGGTGGTGCCTCGAAGGGACACTGGCAGGAGAGTGGCTTCAACTGTGACTGCTACTGTTAAAAGCCTTCTGCTGAAATCACGTGTGTATCTGTTGCTCTTGCCTTGCAGGATGGGATGCCAGTACAGGCTTTTGTAGCAGAGGTTCTGGATCAAATTGTCGGTGTTTCTGTCATCAGGGATGAAATGGTAAATTCTGTTTGTGTTCCATAAGCAGTCACTTGGCCCTCACACTAAAGGCTGCGTTTTGTGCTTGCCACTATGTGTGCCTAACAGTGTCTGTAAAAACTCTGCTTCTAGAAACTCCCTTTCTCCCCAACAGTGTAGAATGTATCACTCCCCTTCTCTCACATGAGTGGCACACAGATGAAAAAATCGTCCTGTTATCTGCAAGAAGTTGCTGATATGTTGTGGAAGCTTGCCTGCTGCACTTTTTGGTGCTCTAGCACAAAGCCATTCTGTGCCTAAATACGTTTAATCACTGATTTCCCCCCTAATTTCCAAGTCAATAAGCCACACCTGCTGTAAAAAGCAGTAGTTCTAGATTTACTTCTATAACTTTCCTCTCCAACAGCGGATTGAGTGATTATGAATCAAACACTGTAAAACAAAGGACAGCATATGCTCTAATGGAGTACAAAAAAGTATGTTGCATTTGCACATTATTATTGAAAAGTAAACACTTGCTAAGGCTTACTTGTGTGGCTTTCTGCTGGGACGGAAAAGGTGGGTTTAGGTGGTTCAGCAGCTCTCATGGTCAGTTTTCAAGATGGAGTAGTCAGTCATTTTCCAAAATAGCTCTTAATTTAATTGAGAGCATTGAGATAAGAGGATACATTAATTGAGTGTATAAACTTGCAAAAATCAGCTTGTCAGTTCAACAGGAAAGACTTGTTGGACGATATTTCTTACACAGCTCCCTCTTTTCAGCTGGAATTTGGTGATAGGACAGTCCTCACCAAAGAGAGAGGACTGTCAAGACAGTTCTCTCTCTTGAACTCAGCAAAATCTGTGCCAGACCTTGGTGGGAAAGGGTCAGATCTGCATCGCTTGCAAATGAGGGCAGGCAAACTGCAAGAGTAGGTTTTGATACAATGAAATTTTATTGAAAACAAAGGCATTTGATATGATAGGAAGTGATAGCTGCTGATCACTGCTGATTTCCAGCTTTTTCCCTTTCCAGGATATCGAGTATGTTCGATCACATTACAACATTGAAGATTTTATTCATTTTAATTGCTACCAGCAAGAAGAACATGGACATCTTTGCCACTTTGTCTTAAATCCTGTATTTCATCGCTATACAAAACACTTTCTAAAGGAGATTCTTCGCTTGGCACACAAATCTGCTCTTTACTATCCCGTTTATCCACGGTATGTGGAAGGCAAGGTAAGGAGAAAATAATTTGTTTCTTGTATTAAACACTGCTGCCTTTGCTCACTTTTTTTTTCTCTTTTGTGAATGACTGTAAACAGGGGTTTTTGTGGTAACCTGCAGCAAACTCCTTTCTGTTCTTCTGGCCTGACATAATCTGCACTCTGGGCACAGCTGTCACATAGTGGGGCTGGTCTGTGGCATGTGAGTCCAGACTCACCAGTGTCTTGAGCAAGGATGTGGGGAAACAGAGACTGGAAGTGTCCTTGGCCTTGGCTCTTTGCCTAGTGTGAGGATAATGTACCCTGAGTAAATGCAAAGGATGATCTTAAACACATATGGGTGGCTTAAAAACTCTTCAGAAGTGATTTAGGCACTCTAGACTCTTTCTCCAAAAGTCAGTGGGTCTCCGGCACCTCATTGACTTTGAAAATGGGACTTGTGTCTCTGCAAGTGTCACAGGAGAGCCATAAGAACTGGATTTCTCCTAATGGAGAAAATTCATTTCGGAGGAGAATGTAGTATGTCGAAGCAAACCAAAAGATTCTTTCAGGAATACTCACGTGCTGTGTCACTGGTCTGATATAAGAGAACGCAAGGTAAAACTTGAAGCCTGTGTAGCCATCTGAAGTTACCATCTGGCCCAGCCTGATCACCCAGGCTCCTGCCAGCACTGCTGGAAACACGAGGTGCATCCCAAGGGCAGTTCATCCGCTGCTCATACCTGCCTGTCTGAGCACAGACAGAATCCCCTCCCGCCCGGGGGCTCTGTGAGGCCGGCTGGACTGAGCCCCTGGAGCTGAGATGGTAACTCAGATGGATTCTGTCCCCGGTGACTTGTGTGGTGTTGAAATCGCCACCAGCTCTCCTGTAGGAACTTTGCCAGGTTAGACCTGATACATTTGCAGAAGGATGTGTTTTCCTGTGTACCCTTATGGAGCTGTTAAGTGTTCCCTTGTGGAACCTGTGTCCCCACGTAGCATTGGGTTCTGAGGTTCTGAAGAGGCACTTACAGAAATGCAGTTCAGTGGCAGTGGATGGAAGAGAAAAGTTAAGCCTTGCTAATGATTCCAGTTTGGCCTTTTTCCTGGCTAGAGTTCCTCTAAATTACTTTAGCTTGTCATTGCTATAAAGTGGTAAATGTGATGTTTTACTCGGTTTTCAACATAGTAACATCAAGTTTTTTTAATGTTTGTGGACTGAGTGTCACTTGAGTGTAACTTAGTTTGCATTAATGTTCATTCTGTATTTCCTGTAATTCTCTTATTTCTTTTTTCCTTTCATGTTGTAGATTATACCAGAGCTAGTCATGCTGTAATGGACAGATACAGCTATTTCTAATGATCCAGGCTGTTCACATGAGCATCAGGGTTTTGTTCACTTCAAATTTCTGCCGGTTTATTAACATTTATCACTTGGATGAACTAGACATCTCAGTCAGTATAGAATTTCTATATAAATTCATCACTGTTCTTTGCCAAGCAAGCAAAGGTTAGCAGTGAGCAGATAACATGGCTTAATGAGGTCAAATCAAGCTGATTCATGATCACTATGGAGAAAAATATCCTCCTGGGGAAAATACTTGTGCTGAAAAATCCCATAAACCAAACCACTTGTTTATCTGTCATTCCCACAGAGATAGTAATGTAATTACTCTCATAATTATCTTCATTAGTGTCAGGAATTATCTGCAATTCATTCCTCTGCTCTGAGTATGTTTGTTTATTTGCTGATTTTTGTCTCAGATTTAGCCAACAGAGCTAAGAATCATGTGCTTGCAGAGCTGTGCCGCAGACATCTGTGCTGCGCTGTTCTGACATTCTCTCTGCTGAAATATGGATCGCTGTCTCTCAGTTCCAGAGCCCCTGTGCCCATTCCCTGACATCTGCCCTTCATTACATGGCTCCCGTGCGGCCCAGACGACAGATTGTCTATCCTCTGCGAGAGCTTGGCGTGAACGCTCCGTCAGAGCGGCTCTGCAAGGATCAGGTGGGTGACAGAAGCAGCAGCAGGCAGGAGGCACAGTGCCAGCTCGTGCGGGGTTTGGCAGATGGGGTGGCATTACCAGCCCAGTGGTGAAAGGCTGCTCCTTAATTACACGGCCGTGGGCTCTGTGCCCTCCCCGTGGCCGGGCTGTGATGGCACACCCGGCACACTCTGCAGCCGCGGGGCAGCCACGCTCCTGCACTCTGGGCCTGCACTGGAGCACCATCAAACTCCCAGCACACGGGAGATGCTCTGCCCTGCTGTTTAGCCCTTCTTCTGCTAAGTTTATTTTAGTGGTGTGCTCAGTAAATGGACAAAAGACAATGCCATGCTTCTGACTCTGTAGACATTGCCTAACTCAGCTTTTATTTTGCAGTCCTAAAGTCAGATTTCTTCTATGCACGAGACCAACCCTTGAGGAACACTTCAAAGCACCAAGTTGATTTAACAGCAAAGGAAAAGATTGGTTTTGTTACCAAAAATCTTTATTTGTGTAGAACTGGTGCAGTCTGGAGGTTCTAAAGGAAATGTCTCTTTCAGTTTCATGTGTTAAATCACTTACATGTTTCTCTTACATTTTTAAGTAACTAAAGTTTGTGTAGGTGATTCCTCAAAGGAGTAACCAGTAAAGCTGGTTAGGAAGAACACCATTATTGATAGATACTCTCTGCAGGTAGCTGTAATTTCATGGAGAAACATAATTAGTTGGCTGAGATGGGTTCCCATATAATATTTTTAGTGCTGTTCTTTTCTCAGTTAGTCAGTAGGTTTTGGCACCCAAAACTTAATTAGGCAGCAGTTGGCAAAGCAAAATCCAGAAAATGGCTGAGGCCATTGGTCTGAGCTTGGCTTTGTTGAATAGTCTTCCCTCCACATGCACATCCCTGCCTTTATCTTCTCTGCAGAAAGAACTGTCTGATGCTTTTCTTTAAACTACTTTTTATTTTATCTTTATAGTGAGCTGTTGCTCTCTTACTAAAAGAGCTCATCTTAGCATTTTTGTTGAAGCTAGAAAATCTCAGACTTCCTGTGTTTGAAAGATTTGCAAATGTTGTGTTCTCCATTCTCAAGTTCTCCCTGAGGTTTTCTGTGAGTTGTAGGTAGCGACATAATTGTTTTAAATCTCCAAAGTTGAGCTTCTATTTAATAATGTGAGATTTTCATTAAAACTTTCTGACAAAAATCCCCAAGTCAAGGCTGTCAGTGTGTAAGTATCCACGCATCTGCACCAGCATGAATTATGGATTTCTGACAGAATGGACATCTGGGGCTGAGTGCTGGCTGGTAACTTGAGGAGAAAGCTCAGCTGCTACTGCTGCTGACTTTTCTGAAATACCAAGAATTGGAAACCATATGAAGTTAAATTGACTCTTATGTTGAGTGCATGAAGTGACCTTTGGCCACCCTAGGTTGGGAGTTTGTAGCACAAGGGGTAACCTGCACAGACTGGGGGTACTCGTGGCAGGAGCTGCTGCTGCTCTCACACTCCGGCTGCTCTGTAGCTCGGGGAGCAGCCAGGCATGAGGCACCTGCCCTCCCTCTGCTCACAGCCTTGTAAAGGAAGATTGATCCCTATCAATAATCTTGCACTGCCCTGCCAAATCCTGCAGTGAAGTTACAAATAAACTCAGGCGTATTTTGTAAATTAATGTAACTAAATTTCAATAGGCACCAAGTTATCATCCTGCCTTTTCGTAGGGATTCAAAAGACCTGCTCAGACCCTCTGTAAACAGCAAGGTGCAGTCTGTGTGACAAAGTGCAATGTGTTCTACCGAGGAGATAAATGTGCTAGCTCTGCAGATTGGAAAGGGTGACAATTGTCACCTTAAAAAGTACTGTGAGACAAAGTGAAGTCTATTTTGGTTGTAGAACATGCTAACAGGCTAGCAAGTGAGGGAAAAGGGACATGGGAAAGCAATGTTTTAAGGAAAATGTAGAGAAGAGAGGAAGGGTGAAAGGCAAAGAGTCTGGAGTAGGAATTAGTGTGGGAAGATGTCTGAAGCCAGCACCTGCATAGCAGTAGGGATACACCTTCTCCCATCATCTTTGTTTTGGTGGTTTTAAACAAGATTGGGGCAGGATCTTGCAGGATGTTGAGATCTGGGCAAGCAGTGGAGACTGTTCCTCATTTCTTTATCACACATCTCTGCAGGCTCATCGAGCTGGTTTGAGCTGAGGGGCCTTTGCCCTCTCCTCTTTGAAAGCACCTCTTCCAGATGGGAACCAGTGCCCGTTTTGCTCCTGAGAGCTGGAGGACAGGTTATTGCTGTAATTGCTGCTTTAGAGAGCTCTGCAATGGTGGCAGCCCTTGTCACATGAACCACAAGATGAAGATTGTAAATACAAGTCAGTTTCAGAAATGTAAAATTTTCACTGACTGCCTGCCCTAATTGATTGCTTGAGTATCTGTTGCTTGTAATGGAGATAATTGTAGTGATATTCCTGCTTTGATACCCACAAGATGCTCCTTGATATCGAGCCATCAACATCTGCCTCTCATCTACTGCTTTTTCAGCTGCCTTCCTCTTGTTCCAGCCCTTTTTGAGCTCTTGCTCTCCTTTTCTAGCTGCAAACTGTGTTTTTGCCCAGTAACAGCTTGTGGCTGAGCAGCTCAGCCATGTGGTGTCCAAGCACAGCTCCTGATCTGTGTGAGGGTCTCCGTTAGTGGCTCAGGATCTCAGGGAGTGTGCAGAGGGAGCCCTGGGCTCAGGCTTTGTCGCTCTCTAATAGGTTCCATGGAGCATGGGACATTCCCTCAAACACTGACCCAGTGCACAGAACTCAAGCAGGACCCACACGGACACTTTCCCCTTTCCTTCCTCCAAAGCCAGAAGAGAAAGCACAGGAGCTTTGCTCTCAGCTGATTCCCACGCGCTGCCAGTGCAGATGGAGCTCGGCTGTGCTGGAGAGATGGTTTTCCTACAGGTCTGGATTGGTTGTTACAGACAGATGAGCACCAGAAATAAAGTCTGTAGTAACTTGTTCTTGTTTTCCCTCTGTCAAATCTCTGTTCTACTGTGGTATCTGGGAAAGCCAGCCAGGGGCAAATGCTGTGTGCTGCTCTTCCATGGATTCCTAGCCTGCTCCTGCCTCTGACAGGCAGCACAAACTGTTTCTCCTGGTGCTGAAGCATAGGTCCTTCCTCCTGGACTCTCAGAGAGAGCTAAATGTCAGGTAGAGATGTAGTCTTAAAATCCAAAAACTTGCTCTATATAAACCAGCAACTTAGTGTTATCTGTGTGACTATTTACCTGCAGTTCTCTGGTCACCCTGTGCTTGTGGCATTTCCAATGGTTCAGTCTTGTTTCTAGTTTGAGCCAGGCCTCTTGGCTGTTTACTAAAATGGCTAGGACTCCAAAGAACTATGGATCTTAGGAACTCTCCCTGTTTCTTCCCTATTTGTTTGACCTTTTAATTAAAGTTTTGGGTAGGTTTTAAGGCCACCACAGGTTTTCTCACTCTTTCTCTTAAACCACAACTCTGCTACTTTGCCTCACAAGCCCTGTCACTCCCCAAGCAGTGCTTCCATTCTGTGGCTGTAAATTCTTAATTTCTTATTGCCTTGAGATGGCAAATATGTTTGGCTGCTGATTTTGTGTCTCTTTGTACCATGCTCTTACCTCATCTTGGTCTGCTGAAGAGATTTGGATAAACTGGGGAAGAGTGGACTGAGAAGGCACAGAGAGAGGGAGGCACCACACTTGCTGTCTCCCACTGTCTCTTCTGGAATGGCACAGATGCTGACCATGGAATTTGCATCCAGTCATGGAAGTGCCTGGACTTGGGGATACCTGCTGAGCAGCAGGTAGAGCAGAGGGGCCCATCTCAGCTCAGAATTTCACTTGCTGCACTCTGGGCTTCAGGGCACAGACCTGACAGAGCTCCTGCCTACCCATTAGATCAAACACCTCGTACAGCTGTTCCAAAGCAAAAGGAAATCTCTGATTTCTGTGTTCTGAATCAGCAACCTGTGCTGAAGCGCCAACTGGCAGAAGATCCAAAGATTCAAGCTCTTGATTCCCCCAGTGTTAAAACAGATTAGATTATTATTGTGGTTTGCACATCTGTCAGTCATTTCAGTCATGTTACATTAAAAACCAGTTGGTTACAACAGAATCCTGAATACCTTAGAAAGTGCTGCTGGCCTTTACAGTGCATGTCATTATTGGTGGAGTAGAAAACTATAGATAATTAAATAATTTTTAATGATCTTTTCATAAATAAACAATTTGTAAACTTGTTTGCTTTCTCACCATCTGGGAGCATTCTGTTCTCCATCTGCTTCATGTAATTATCAATGTTAAGGGAAGAATAGGTGATATAATTAACAAGAATAACTGATCCACAATGAAGAACAAGAATGTCACACATCTGTTGAATTATTTCCTTGTTTTTGCCCTTTCATTATTATTCATGCTATTGGGTTTATTACATTTTTATTTTGTGGCTGCATTCAGGCAGTCGGGTTTTATTGCACAGTTTAGAATTGGTTTTTCTGCTCTAGCTCCTAAAAAGATGGAACAGTTGCAGAAGCCCGTGAAGTGTTGTATAAATTTATCTTGGAAAAAAACCCTCCCAAACCCACTGAAAAATGCCAACCCTCTCTCAGTTGATTTCATACATTTCAAGTGGTATTCCAGGGGCACTGCAGGAAATGTTTATATCAGAATGAGAAGTGGTGAAGCAGGAGGGTCAGGCACAGAGCTGGAGTTGAGTGCTCAGCTCGGTGTGCTCTGAGCCTGTCCCCTTGAAACTTGTTCAGCAGTTGGGTATTGCTGGGGGAGGGAGCCCCTGGTGCTCAAGTGGTTAAAGCGCGGCACTGTCAAGACCCGGGTTCGATTCCCGGTCAGGACACTCCCCGGGCAGATGGAGCTCGTTAGCCCTGTAAGGCAATCCATCTACGTCCTGAGAACCTCACTGCCACTGTCCAAGCTCGCTTGGCCCCGGCAGATGAACCTCAGGATTAAAGGGTGGGCTCAGTTCCACGCACACTGTGTCTCAC